CCCGTAGAAAGCTGGGCTGGAGGAGAGGAAGCAGAGCCCCCTCGTTGCCCAGGTGCAGCCGTGCCCAGCGATGCCGGTGTCCGTTCTCTGTACCGAGGACGAGAGCGTAACCCGGGGCCTGAGCGGCTGCCGGGCCCCGCGGGCCCGTCTGGCCGGGAAGGCACACACAAAGCTGTGTGTGGGGGTGTAAACATCGCAACCCGGCCAGAGCTCCCCCTGAAGCGTGGGTGTTTGCATGGGCACCGGCATCCCTACCCCTCAGGGTTGTCATAACTTCCCTGCTCCTGTTCTTAAACCCCTGGCAATTTTCAACTTAAAGTTTGTGTATAAAATAGCATACAGCGATAGCTGTGGTTATGCTGTCTTCATAGCCGGGATCAGCAGTTTCAGTGGTGTTCGGTATCTCAGGAAAAAAACACCTTGATATCTTTCAGCATCCTTCCCCTCCTCCAAAGGGCAGGTGCTGGGAGGGTGGGGAGTTTTATTGCCCTGTGGTGCACGGGCGTGAATTTAACTTCTGCAATCGCTGGCTTTTTGCTCTCCTCTGCGTTGCTGGTGTAGGAGCAAATTGTTGGATGGTTGGGTTTGGTTTTGCAGAGTTTACCTTCTCAAATTAGTTGTAAAATGAGTAAGTTTGGTTGGAACGGAGCAATGCTGTTGTCTGTGTTGAAGTGATAGGTGGAGGGCCTGGAATAAGTGCAAACAGCTCTTAGCATAACCATGTACAGAAGTAAGGCACGCTCTGTGTGCAGCCTGAGGGGCTTTAGGCTGACAATTCCCCTGTCTGCTGGGTCCTCAAGGAGGAGGCATTTGAGATTGGGGTGTTTCTCGCAACAACTCAACAAATCCTGCACAGACCATTAAAAAGATGCTTGTTTAACGTGGCAAGAGCCAACTTTTTTACTGGACTGTCTGTAACTTCTTAATTGAAATAGTTCTGCACATTCAATGGGGTTTTTAAACCTTGTCTGTGTGTACGCACCCAGGTCAGAGAGTGACCTTTTCAACCTGCATGTACTTTTAGAGTAAATCTTGGTGTCTTTATTTCCTAATTCTCTTTTCTTTTTCCCCCTCCACTGGCCAGGTTTGCTGTAAGCGTGGGCTACTGGGAGGACCCTTACATCCAGTATTTCGTGAGACAAGCCAAGGAGAGAAAAGCACCTGAAATCAATAGAGGCAAGTTGGCGTGTGAGCCTGAATGAAGGTGGTGCAGGTGTGTGCTGAGCTGGTCTTGAAGAGCACCTGACAGATCCTCCATGTGATGGGTATTATGAGGTGCAGGAAATACATAAAAGGATGAGACAAGTTTTTTCACAGTAATAATTCCATACTGTATCTTTTAAATGTTATTCTTTAAATCAAAACAGTTGCTTTCTGTATTTTTAATGGAATGTCTCTGTGTCTCTACAAAGCAACCAGAAATGTTGATTTGACCCAGTTTGAGCTAAAACTTGACTACAACTTCTGTTTACCCGAGGAGTCCTGTTTTATCAGTGCGTCTGATTTTGTTAGTAACAAATAAACCCCCAAACCATTACAGAGTGCATTATTCTTCCTAAGAAACACCATTTTTTAAATAGAAAAAGAATTTACAAATCTACCTAAAACTGTTAAGCATAAAGTATTATGTGGAAACAATAATGAAAGTTAACTTTCTCTTTCTTTCTTTCTTTGTTACCAGGCTATTATGCTCGCGTTCATGGAGTCAGTTACCTGATCAAAGCTTTTCTGCAGAAGACAGAATGCAACTGTCAAATTGTTAATCTGGGTGCTGGCATGGATACCCTGTTCTGGCGGTTAAAGGTAATGACAGCAGAGAGGAACGAGCTTGGCTGAGGATGAAAATGTGCGTGGACGTTTGAAATGCTCTTCTGTGAGGGCCTACGGGTGCTGTGTTCTGGAGTCGGGTTAACCCGACTGCCCTGGCTGCTCTGCCTCGCTTCTCAGCTGGTTCAGAATTGGTTTAGGCACCTTTAGAGCTCAGTGCGCAGGAGGGGCTGCCCTTTCCATGGGCTTTGAGCAATAAGTGTGTGATGTGAAGCTGACCCCAAGTGGGCTTTCAGGAGCAGAGCCTGAACTCCACCTTTTGCCATCCTTTTTAAGCCTTCAGATTTCCCTTTTTTGTCCTATATTTAAACAGGAATAAGGTAGACAGAACCTGTACAATGCTGTACTTTGATACAGGTTTCTGAATTACTTATATAAATGTGAGTTTATGTACGTAAATATGTCTGTATGCACGTAGGTAATTCACAAAAATTCAGACATTATATGATAGGATCATTCTGAGTGAACACACCTGTAAGTCATTGTGTTTTCTCATGAGCATCTAAATTTGTAAATGTGGTTTCTGGAAGGAAGCCCAAGGAGGCCAGTGCCATTTTGCTTATCACAATTCATTACACTTCAGTCAGTGGAAGGGATAAAATAGTTACTTTTTCCTGAGATGTGAAGCTTTGTCTTACGTGCATTCCTACGACAGCTATGTCAATACACAGTTTTATTAACTTTCCCATAAAAGTTCTTTCAAAAGCTCAAGTGAGGCCTGAAATCCCAATTCTTTCTCCTTGTAAAGAGCGGGTGTGCTGTAATTAATGTACAGAAGACGGGACCTGGTTAACCAAGTGCTTCAGTGTTCTGATTTAATCTACTGCTCAGAAATTCATGAGGCTGACAAGCCTGGACACGCAGTACGTATCCACCACAAAAGGATTGCTGCACAGGGAGAAACTCTGCTTGTCCATCGGGTGTCAAATAGTGACAACCTGAAGTGAAGAGGTTTTCCCCTTTCCTGTAGTAGAGGAATTCTGATGTGCGTGTGGTCTGGCTGTCGATTTGAGGAGTGTGGTCACTTCCTGTGTAAACCTGTGCCAAACGATCCCGATTCCTTTCTTAGAAGAACATACAGAAGGTGCATGGTAAATGTAACAGCTTCCTGGTGCTGTGCTCTTCTGGACCCCGATAATTTATTGTTGGAGTGCGTTTCAGTGATCTTGTGTCTAGGACTGCTGCATTACATAAAGCATTCAATAATTTCCTTAATGCTTAGAGGACAACTTTCTAATGGCTCTCAACTGTTTTCATTGTTTTGGGTTTGTTTTTTTGAGCTATGGGTCACTAAATGATACCACTGTTACAAATGCCAGTGTAAACTAAAACAAAACTGCTCAGGACTTCAGGTCGTACATTCTTCTTGTGGGCACGTGAAACTTGAATGTCCCTAATTCCAGAGTCTTGCTCCAATTCTCAGGATGAAAATCTTCTTCCTAGAAAATATTTTGAAGTGGATTTTCCGATGATAGTTGCAAGAAAAATACATAATATCAAGTAAGTATAACCTTGTGTTTAGCTGTGTGAAGCGGTGTAGCTCAGCAAAACGTCATGAATTGCAAGCTGCAGTAATTTCGTTCTCTTCTGAGGAAGTCTTCGTGCTGTGGGACTTAGAATAAAGGTTTCATTTTGCAGCCAAGTCGCACACGTGACTGTGCAGCCACTGCTCCAAATCGGAGAAGCTGAGAAGTGGAAGCTTTAGGGAGGCGAGCAGGCTTTATTCTTAATTATGTAAAGTATAATGGGCAGGGGAAGCCTGACGACGATTAGAGGTGATTAAGTCTTCTCTCACTGTTGAAGACAGTAATAGATTCCCAGACTTGCATGTTGAGTTGGAGGGGTAGGAGAGCTGAATATTCCATTTTAATGACTATATTAAGGCGTATGAAGGGTACTAGAAG